ACAGAGAGACTGGGGCCGGGTGTGGGGGCTCATGCCTGTGATCCCAGCACTTTCAGAGACCAAGGCAGTTGGATCACATGAGCCCAGGAGCTTGAGACCAGCCTGGGCAACATAGTGAGACTCCATCTCTACAAAAATCTAAAAATTAGCCAGGTGTGATAGTGTACACCTGTACTCCCAGCTACTTGGGAGGCTGAGGTGGAAGGATCACTTGAGCCTGGGAGGTCGAGGCTGGAGTCAGCTGAGATCATACCACTGCACTCCAGCCTGGGCGACAGAGAGACCCTGTCTCAAAAAAAAAAAAGAGGCATGCCATATATACTATGTCCGGCAAGGTGAGGACAGAAAACGGTGGCCGCTCTAGAAGGAGTATGTGCACTCTCCAGCAGCAACGACAGAAAGCCTTCCTGCCTCCCCAGACCATGCACACACCTCTGCTTCCGGAAGATGGACAGGTATAAGTAAAGAAAGGTCAGCACAGCCAGGCGCTTGGTGACAGCACAGTCGTCAGGCAAGCCCGCAACCTCCTTCAGCTTCTCCACTTGCTCTGGGGTAGGCGCTGTGACATCACCTTGCTCTGTCTCACAGGCAAACAAGCAAACACAAGTGGGTGAGAGGGCCTCGGGTGCTTTATAAACAACAGAATACAGAAAATCAACTTGTCACTGCAATCAGAACATGGGTGGACATGAATTTATTGTCTGAACACCACACCCAAGTCTATTTATTGGCTTGAGGCAGACCTGGGTTTGAGTCCCAACTGTGCCATTTACTGGCCATGTGACTGAACCTCCCTGAACCTGTTTTCCACCTTGGTAAAACAGGGATAACAACAGCGCCTCTTCACAGGGTTGTCATGAAGGTGAAGTTACATAAGAGATGTAACTTTAGCATAGCACCTGGCATGTAGTAAGTGCTTAATTAACAGTAGTGTTGAGGCCGGATGCAGTGGCTCATGCCAGTAATCCCAGTACTTTGGGAGGCTGAGGTGGGCCAATGACTTGAGCCCAGGAGTTTGAGACCAGCCTGGGCACATGGCAAAACTCTAACTCTACAAAAAGTACAAACACTAGCCAGGCACGGTGGTGCACACCTGTGGTCCCAGCTACTCGGAAGGCTGGGGTAGGAGGATTGCTTGAGCCCGGGAGGTTGAGGCAACAGTGAGCTGTGCTCGCACCACTGCACTCCTCCCTGCATGAGAGTGAGATCCTGTCTCAAAAAAAAAAAAAGCTAGTCTTAAAACACACACACACACACACACACACACACACACACACACACAGAATGCTGGCTCAATCACACAAGGTCCTAGGTTTCACCTTCCACTGTATAAAACCAAAATCAAAGGAGTACTAAGTTACCCCCCAAAATACTTCCCTCCTCCAAAAGAGAATCATCAGGAATAGAACCTGTAAATGTGAGGCGCTGCCTGAGCAGAAGGGGAGGGTGAGGCGGGCGGGGGGATGTGCAGGAACCTGGGCTGCTTCCCTCTAAGACACCAAGGAGGCAGAGCCTGTCTGGCCAGCTTCCCTTTACAAATCCCTCCCTGAGTGTCAGGCCAAATTCTCAAGGGACCAGGAGATGGGATGGGGTGTGTGTGTGTGTCAGGAAACCTGGGGCAAGGGTTAAGTGCTGGGTAATACACTTTGAATAGATTAATAATATACTCAAAACGGCCAAGTCATGACACTGCTGAGACCCCAGATATTTCAGAGCTCTGTAATTGAGATGGAACAGTTGTCAAGAGCCTGGATTTGGGGGCTAGAAGAAACCTGATCTGAGCTCTGTAATCGAAATGGAACAGTTGTCAAGAGCCTGGATTTGGGGGCTAGAAGAAACCTGTATCTGAATCCTTTCAGTATCACCAGCAAGTGTAACCTGAGCCACTTGACCTCTGAACTTTAATTTTCAAATCTGTACAATGGGGGTGCATGACACCACCTACTCCCAGGAATGCTGGAGAATTCTAAGAGTGCTAATATATGTGAACACACTTATCAGTGCCTGGCACACATAAATGTCCAACAAGTGTCCACTGTAGTACTAGGGTACAGTGGCAAGTGCCTATGGTCCCAGCTACTCAGGAGGCTGAGGCAGAAGGATCAGTTGAGCCCAGGAGTTTGAGACCAGCCTGGGCAACATAGCAAGACCCTGCCTCTACAAAAAAAAAAAAATGTTCGATGTTTATTACTATCACGAGGGTGCAAAAGGACACTGAAAGAAAGATGGTAGATCTTTGCAACCTAGTAGAAGGTGGTATGTCTCCCAATGCTCTGAAACTAACAAGCCCTTACCCAGTACTGCACTCTGTCACAGCCCCAGTACCCGCCTCCAGTGTGGTCAGAGCCTCACGCCAGCCCTCAGTCAGGCAACAAGTCCCTGCTCCAAGAGGCCCAGAGGGTGAACGGACCTGCCCAGGTTCACTGAGGGAGTCAGAGTGGTCTGAAACATGTGCCCCCACACCTGGCTGCCGACATATGCAACTTGCAGCTGGTTCTCAGGGGACATTTCTGGCCTGGCTGGGTAGCCCTGTGCACCACAGAAAGCAAGTCCCACATGCTCTGGCTGGCTGTTTTCAGATGCATGCTCCAAAGGAGTGACTTTTTTTTTTTTTTTTTTTGAGACACAGTTTCACTCTTGTTGCCCAGGCTGGAGTACAATGGTGTGATCTCAGCTCACCACAACCTCTGCCTCTCAGGTTCAAGCAATTCTCCTGCCTCAGCCTCCCAAGTAGCTGAGATTACAGGCATGTGCCACCACGCCTGGCGAATTTTGTATTTTTAGTAGAGATGGGGTTTCTCCATGTTGGTCAGGAGTGGCTCTTAACTGAGGTGTCCCCAGAATCTTCCAGGAAACCCCTTTCAAAAACTCCTACCACCACTGCCAACTTCTAATAAGAGAGGTGCAGAGCCAGGAGTCCATCTGTACTGGTAAAAACAAAAACAACAACCACAATCACAAAAAGCTGCTGGGTGATTCCAAGACATGATGAGGTTTTAAAGAGTTGCTCCAAAATGAGGATTCTGGCAGGGCACAGAGGCTCTCACCTGTAACCACAGCACTCTGGGAGGCCAAGGTGAGAAAGTGGGAAACTGCTTGAGGCCAGGAGTTCCAGACCAGCCTGGGCAACACAGCGAGACCCTGTCTCAACAAGTGAAATAAGAATTTTCAATTCTTCCTCCATCCCCATATGTGGAGTGATGGTTTCTCACGGGGAATGGGAAGCAGGTGTCAAGGGTTTGGGTGTAGTCCAGGGAAAAACCGGAGAAGCTTTTCATTTACCCAAACCTGGCTGAGAAACACTGTTCCAAAGAGCAATGCTTCAGCCCAGAGAGTGGACAGCAAATTGAGAACAGAAAACACACATCAGCTCTGGGGCAGGTGCAGGGGATCTACTCATGGAAAAAGCTAGCCTGCTTATAAGTGGATGAAATCTTCATGCTGGCAAAAATCAGCACACACACCTGACACACAAAAGAAAAAAATTGGCATTTCTAAATGGTTTATATGGCCTGACCCAATTTTGGTTAACAAAACAAGATAACTCCCTGTCTCAATCTTTCTATCCATCTGTAGAAAATCACCCAGAAGAATTAATGCCAAAATGCTTGGAGTCATTACTGGGGTCAGGGAAGGGAGAAGGGGAATAATAGGTGATTTTGAAATTACAATGTCCCAGTATTAACTGTCTTTTCCAATAATAACAATTGGTTACTTTTTTTTTTTTTAAAATTTTTTTTTTTTTTTTTTTTTTTTTTTTTTTTTTTTGAGATGGAGCCTTGCTCTGTCTCCCAGGCTGGAGTGCAATGGTCAATCTTGGCTCACTGCAACCTCCACCTCCCAGGTTCAAATGATTCTCTTACCTCAACTGCCTGAGTAATTGGGATTACAGGCATGCGCCACCACACCCAGCTAATTTTTGTATTTTTAGTAAAGATGGGGTTTCGCCATGTTGGCCACGCTGGTCTGGAACTCCTGATCTCAGGTGGTCAGCCTCCCAACATACTGGCACTACAAGCCTAAGCCCTGTACCCACCCTACTTTTATTAACTTTTAATTATACAAAATGCCAATATTCTCCTCTTTTAAAACGTGTCCCTTTGTCTTTCTCTGGGCCGAGGTCTCTCCCAGGAGAACTAATCACCACTGCCAACCTGATGTCTACACCCCCGAGATCTTTTTCTATCATTTATATACATATTTATACTGAAATATGTATGTTTGCTGTCTTGCATTTTTTTCACTCAACAATAGACCTTGATGATCTTCCACAACAGCCCACAGAGATCCAATGAATTGTTTTACACTTTTACATTTTTTAAAAAATGAGTGATGCTAATTTTAAGAGGTCAGGGTAGAAAACTGGAAATCGCTGGCCCTTGAATCCCTTGGGGACAGCATGGAATACCTGGCCAGCTACCCTCTGTGCAGGGCCAAGACTCTTACCACCTGGTTTCTCTTCCTTGCACTTACCCAGAAAGCTTGTGTCCAGTAGCTGAAGCCTGGCCACATCCCAGGACCGCTTGATACCAATGTTGGGTAAACTGAGATCCACTTTCCCACTGCTGTGGGGTTGAAGCCGGAGGAATGTTCTCAAGTTCAAGGCCACAGCCAGTGCTACCTACAGGATACAGAACAAAAGCAGTTAGCCTGAGGGCGGGTGGCAAAGGGGCCAGCCAATGCTAAGAAGAGCGCAAATGTGAACACACAGGCCACTCTCAGCCAGGCCCTGGCCAGACACTGCTAATCAACCTTGGCATGCTCTCCCACTAAGCCTGGGCATAGCCACCATCGATCAACTCAAAGTCAACATCCACTTTGCCTTTTGCCTGAAAAATTTCAGAGGTGCTCAACACCAAGGAATCACTTCCCCATAATGACTATGTTTTCAAAGAGAAATATAAGAACATAAGGAATAGCAGTTAGAGGCCAGGTGTGGTGGCTAACATCTGTAACCCCAGCACTGTGAGAAGCCAAGGCAGGAGGATCACTTGAACCCAGGAGTTCGAGACCAGCTTGGTGTCAAAAAGAACACATCTCTACCAAAAAAAAAAAAAAGAAGAAGAATAAGATGAAGAAAGAAAAAATAAAATTAGTGGAGCGAGGTGGGGTACACACCTGTGGTCCCAGTTACTCGGCAGGCTGAGGTTGGAGGCTGCAGTGAGCCATGATCACAAGATTGCACTCCAGACTGAGAGAGAGCAAGACTGTCTCAGGGAAAAAATAATAATAATAGCAGAGTGCAGCAGGGGTGGGTTCAGATAGAGGTTCACACCAAGCTCTACCAAGGTGTACAGGACTTGGATCAAATTACCACTTCTCTAGTATCACCTGACACTGGTTAGGAAAAAAAAAGTTACCACTTCTCTCCTAAGCCTCAGTCTCCATATTCATAAAATAGGATAATGAAAGGGTATATGCTTCAGGGGATAGTTGTAAGGGTAAGATGAGCTAATGTATGTTTTTTACTCTTTTGCTAGATCCTCAACTTCTAAATGTCTTAGTGCCCCAGAGCTTAGTTCTCAAACCTCTTTCCTTCTGCATCAAAGCTCACTCCTAGGTTATCTCAGTCCATTCACAGGGCTTTATATATCATCCTTTTGCTATCATACTGAGCAAGGCCAGAGGATCCTTTCAGTGGGCAGAAGATACCTTTTTCTTGCCTGGCTGGGGAGAAACTGATCGCTCTGATCTGCTCCCAACCTGTGCCTCAGGGTGTCCTTTTAACTTCTCGAAAAATTAGCATGGGGAAAAGGGGTACCCAATCCTTAAACGCTCTAATAGCTTTTTTTTTTTTTTTTTTTTGAGATGGGAGTCTCCCTCTGTTGCCAGGCTGTAGTACAGTGGTGTGATCTTGGCTCAATGCAACCTCCACCTCCCGGGTTCAAGCAATTATCCTGCCTCAGTCTCCTGAGTAGCTGGGACTATAGGAGCGCATGACCACACCTGGCTAATTTGTGTATTTTTAGTAGAGACGGGGTTTCACCATGTTGACCAGGATGGTCTCGATCTCTTGATCTTGCAATCCGCTCACCTTGGCCTCCCAAAGTACTGGGATTACAGGCATGAGCCACAGCACCTGGCCTTGCTCTAACGGCTTTTTACCTTGCCATGTACCACGGCATGTTCTCCATGAAGGATGACTTTTCCTGGAGCAGACACCAGTAGGACTTCTGACAACATGGCTCCTGGGAATCCTAAAAGGGAAAGTCAGTGAGAAAAGCAAGATCTCAAGATGTCAGAATCAGCTGGAAGAGATCTTAGAAAAAACCTAGTTCAAGTCCATCATAATAACAAAAAAGGTAGTTACCGTCCAGCACCGCTGTGTGCCAGAAAGGCAATGCAGCAGTCAACTGGACCCATTCAATAGATCTGGGTTCAAATCCCAGCTCTTCCACTCCCCAGTGATGTCATCTTAGCTAACTCACTTACATGACTATGAACCTCGCCTTCCCCACATGTTATATGGAGAGATAATAACCATACCTACCTCAGTGATTGTTAGGAAGGTTAAATTAGTGCAAGGGAAGCACTTAGCAGTGTCTGGCACCTACTAATCATTCAGTTACTGAGAGCTGCTTATTACTGGCTCTGTATTCATTTCAGCTTTTACAACTACTACCATTAAAGGCAGAAATTTACATGAAATCATGGTCCAGAGAGAATTCTTTGCTGGACCTTTAGGCTGTTTCCAATGTGTCACAATTATAAACAAGGCTGCAGAAAACTCCCGGCACGCCTCGTTTTGCACACTTAAGTATTTCTGCAGGACAGAGTCCTAGAAAGGGGCTTGCAGAGTCTACAGGTGTGTGCAATTTACACATTATAAATAAGGCAAAATTATCCTCCGATTAAGGCTTTACGTAGATTATTTTACGCTAAGATCCAAGTGCACTGTGAGCTAAGTACTATCAAGATCCCCATTTCTTAAAGAGAAAAACTGAGGCACAGAACGGGGAATCCCTTTGCTTGCTTGCCCCAAGCTCAGAATCACGACTGTCAGATTGAGGTCTCCGACCCTAGGGACAGACTCAGAGCTGGGGAAACTGAGCCACAGAAGCTGGGCGCCTGGCTCACAGTCGACCCGGGTCTAGGACCTCGCGCCACCCGGCCCCGCGACCCCAGCCTCTCACCTGTCGCCACCGCCCCGGCCGCCGTCCCTCCACGCCGTAGCCGGCGCAGCACCCCAACTCCTGCAGCCCAGAGCTCCAGTGCCCCAAGGGGAGGAGGGCTTGTCCTTCAGTCCAGCCAATCAGAGCGCGCAAGCCCGGAGTCCCTTTACTAATAGGTTTGAACATTGGTCAATAAGTGTTGCAGTCCAGCAACACGGGTTTTCCCGCCCCGCTCCTGCCGTTAAACCAATGGGAATCAAGTCCCTGGGAGTGTCCCGCCCTGGGGCGAGAACCGCGAACCAATGAAAATTGACAGCTGAGCGGTGGCGCGGCCGGCTGTGGGTGGAGTCACCCCGGGGCCTGGACGGGAACCTGGCGGGGTCAGGTCTGTCAAGCAGCCTGGATCATGGTTGTGTGGTGCCTGGGGAGCCGTCTTGGCCTGCGTAGGTGCCTCGGCGCTGCCAGGCTCCTGCATCCCCGTTTCCAGAGCCGCGGCCCTCAGGACGTGGAAGACGGGGACAGGTGAGTGGCTGGCGGGAAGGGTAAGTCAAACACCTGCCGGGAATCGTGGTGTCGTCGCCATGGGTACGTCACAGCGCCCTGAGGTCACCGCGGCAACCATCAGGTGACGTCTCCACGCGGTCGTGACGTCACCATGGCAACATGGGCCACATGGGCGCCAGAGACCAGAAAATCTTTGCCTAAGTCTCAGTGAAGCCCCGCTATCATCCGGCAGGGCAGAGAATATCCCATGTGGGTCAGGAGGGCTCTCGACTCAGATTGTGACCCATCTCCAAAGCAGTTTATCCCCTAGGTCCGAGATACACCGGCATCTTCTAAAGATGGCTTTCCTCATATACCTTGAAACTTGCACCCCAACCCAGATCTCAGAACCTCTAGAGTACTGTGGATTAATAATGGATTAATTTAGTCCACATTTCCAGGAACTTAACCTTCGAATGGCCTTATAATGTCACATTTTAATATTGAGCTATGTCCTTGAGTCGTTTACATTGTTATTTTGTTATTTGAAAATGCCACTTTTTGAACTCTGTTTTGCCAATTCTTCACCTCTGAGTACACTCGAAGCCTCATAGTATGGAAGTGGCCCAGGTTTCTTTCCCTGCAAGAGGCCCTGAGTTGGTGGAGATAAGAATTTGGGTAGGGTAGAATCCTAGCTACTTGGGAGGCTGAGGCAGGAGGTTCACTTAAGCCCAGGAGTTCAAGGCTGCAGTGAGCTATGATCATGCTACTGCACTGCTTAGGCCACAGACCAAGCTTAGGCAACAGACCAAGACCCTCTCTGTTAACAAAATAATCACAGGCCAGACAACAGTGGCTCATGCCTATAGTCACAGCACTTCAGGAGGTTGAGGCAGGCATATTGCTTGAGCTCAGGAGTTCAAAACCAGCCTGGTAAGATGACAAAACCTGTCTCTACCAAAAAAAAAAGAAAAAAAAAAATTAGCCGGGCATGGTGGTACACACATGTGGTCACAGCTACTGGGGAGATTGAGGTGGGAGGATTGCTTGAGCCTGGGAGGCAGAGAGGTTGTAGTGAGCCTAGATCGTGCCACTGCACTCCAGCCTGGGTGACAGTGTACGACCCAATCTCAGTAACAAGAAAGAAAGAGAGAGAGAATTTCAGTAGGACAGAAGTTAAAGCTTGTGTTCCAGCCTAGGACAGCCTTCGGCATCCCACTCCTGCCTCTTGCTGGATGACCTAGGAAGGTGAGTCTCATCTGAGCTACAGTTGCCTCCTCAGTAAAATGAAGATAATAGGTGGTGATTACCTTTGGGGTTGTGGAAAGATTCCAGGGAAAATTCCAGAAGATAATGCCTGTAAACTACTTGGCACTGTGCAGGAACAGTGGCAAATGATCAATGAATTCCTTCAGCAAATATTTATTGATCATTTACGTTGATCAATGCATTACATCACTACTCAACATGCTCTGTCACCCAGCTCTGTGTCTTTCCCACAAAGCGTTTGCTATTAGAAGGGATCTAGGGGAACGAAATCAACAAGAGATTACCATCTAAGCAGCAAGGGGTAAGTGGTGAGTCTGAGGTTACAAGAGCGAGCTGGGACCCACTGCGGAGCTGACCCTCTGTGTAAGCCATCCCCACTTACCACCTATTGATATATATTTCTCTGTAGGCCCCAGTCTTCCTCGAGGACACCCAGGATCCCCAAGATTTACACTAAAACAGGAGACAAAGGTAGGGTGGGGACAGGTGAAAAATGCAAAGAAGTGCACATGGCATACCCCATTTTAAAGTTCTTCCAAATTCTTTGCAACCACTGAAAAGTATAATATGTGGCCAGACGAGGTGACTCATGCCTATAATCCTGGCACTGTGAGAGGCCCAGTGGGCAGATCACCTGAGGCCAGGAGTTTGAGACCAGCCTGGCCAATGTGGTGAAACCCCATCTCTACTAAAAATACAAAAATTAGCTGGACTTGGTGGCACATGCCTGTAGTCCCAGCTACTTTGGAGGCTGAGGCAGAAGAATTGCTTGGCAGTGAGCCAAGATCATGACACTACACTCCAGCATGGGTGACAGAACAAGACTGTCTCAAAAAAAAAAAAAAAAGTATGATATATGACAGATTTCAACTTAATATACATTACGAAAATGTAATGTGAAATGAAAAACACCCAAGATACATTAAATGACAAAAGCCTGAATCTATCTGGATAAGCATGTGCATATATATGTATTCAGATATGTGTAGAATAGTCTCTGAAGGGTTACACCTGGGACTGTTCCTGGGGGGGAGATTAAGTTGTGAGAGGGGACTGAACAGAAGGACTTTCACTATCTACATACTTTTATTCTATTGTATTACTTTTTATAATGAGTATATATTACTTTCTTTTTTTTGAAATGGAGTTTCACTGTCATCAGGCTGGAGTGCGGTGGCACAGTCACTTGGCTCACTGCAACCTCCACCTTCCACATTCAAGCAATTCTCCTGCCTCAGCACCCCAAGTAACTGGGACCACAGGCGCCCGCCATTGTGCCCGGCTAATTTTTTTGTATTTTTTGTAGAGATGGGGGTTTCACCGTGTTAGCTAGGATGGTGTTGATCTCCTGAACTTGTGATCCACCCGCCTTAGCCTCCCAAAGTGCTGGGATTACAGGTGTGAGCCACCACGCCCGGCCCTATAATGAGTATATATTACTTTAATCATTTTTTAAATGCTAGAATATGATGTTATATAGAAAAAAGATGCAGAAGAATGTGTTAGTATGATACTTTTTCTTTTCTTGAGACAGGGTTTCACTCTGTCACCCAGGCTGGAGTGCAGTGGCACAGTCACGGCTCACTGCAGCCTCCAACTTTCAGACTCAAACAATCCTCCCACCTCAGCCTTCTGAGTATCTGGGGCAACAGGCATACATCACCATGCCTGGCTAATACTTTTTAGTTTTTTTGTAGAGATAAGGTCTTGCTATATTGCCCAGCTGGTCTCGAACTGCTGGGCTCAAGCTATACTCCCACCTCAGCCTCCCAAAGTGCTGGGATTACAGGAGGCATGAGCCACCGCACTCAGCCAGTATACCATTTTTTGAAGTATAAAAACATGCAGATCACTAGTATGTATTGTTTTTCGGATATATGCTTGTATAGTAAAAGTATAAAAGCATGCACAGGACATATCCAATGTCACTGAATGGTAAAATTAAAAAGAGTCAAAATGTAAAATTTCTGTTATGTATCATCTATTACCACAATAAAAAGGAAGAAAGAGGATGCTGGAAAGGACTTATTATAGGGTTGGGTTTTGTTGGGTGGTTTCGGAGAGGATTCCAGGAAGTGGGGCTTTGCTCTGGATCGAATCCCGTTAGGAAGCAGGGCTATTTCTGCAATTGGGTATCTTTTTTTTGTTGTTTTTTAAGACAGGGTCTCACTCTGTTGCCCAGGCTGGAGGGCAGTGGCATGATCTCGGCTCACTGCAACCTCTGCCTCCCGGGTTCAAGTGTTTTTTGTGCCTCAGCCTCCCAAACAGCTGGGACTACAGGTGTGCACCACCACGCCTGGCTAATGTTTTCTATTTTTAGTAGAGATGAGGTTTCACCATGTTGGCCAAGCTGGTCTTGAACTCCTGGCCTCAAGCGATCTGCCTGCCATGGCCTCCTAAAGTCCTGGAATTACAGGTGTGAGCCACCATACCTGGCCTGCAATTGGTATCTTAATTTTTTTCTAGAAGACAGAAGGGACAAAGAGGTGCTAAAGCTGTAATGGATAAAGATGCAGCAGTCACTCACACTGGCCAGGGAAGGGGGAGGTTTGGTCATCTTTCGGAGTTTGGACAGTCATCTATGCTCAGACGTTATTCCAGAGCGGCCTTGTTTGGTCTTGAACCATCCCAGTCATAGAGCCGCCCATCTGACAGTGTTCTGTGAAATGGTTTGTGTTCAGCTGCTGTGAGTGCCAGGCTAGCACCTGGCAACCCCAAAGCCTACTCGATAGCGAAAGCCAGCGCCCACCTGTCAGGGGCAGCATTTACTTTCTGAGAGGTTGTGGGAGAAAGGCAGGGATTGTGAGCTAGGCAGAGGAACAGAGGACTTTGACTTCATGTGACATATAATGGTAATGTACATATGATATAAAATATATAACACATATGTTTTATTTTTTTATCAGGATGGTGATTTTTTTCTTTTTTTGAGACAGAGTCTTGCTCTGTCACCCAGGCCGGAATGCAGTGGCACAATATCTGTTCACTGCAACCTCCACCTCCCGGGTTCAAGCAGTTCTTCTGCCTCAGCCTCCCGTAGTGTGTGATTTTTAAGTTTAAAATAAAAGCACATCAGGAAAGAAGTGAGGATGGTGGTTAACCCTTGGGGAGCGACAACTGAAAGGGGTGCGTGGGGATTTCAGGGTGTTGGTCATGTTCTGTTTATTAAGCTGGGTGCTGACCACGGAGGTATATTCAGTTAGTAGCAATTCACCAACTCACATACTTACAATTTGAGCACTTTTCTGTGTATATTCTATACTTCAACTTGAAAATTCTTTAAGGGCTGGCACGGTGGCTCATACCTGTAATCTCAGCACTTTGGGAGGGTGAGGTGGGTGAATCACTTGAGGCCAGGAGTTCAAGACCAGCCTAGCCAACATGGCAAAAACCCGTCGCTACTAAAAATACAAAAAGTTAGCAGGGCATGGTGGTACACACTTGTAATCCCAACTACTTGGGAGACTGAGGCACAAGAATCACTTGAACCTGGAGGTAAAGGTTGCAATGAGCCAAGATCATGCAACAGAATGACCATTCAAAAAAGGAGAGAAAAAGTTCTTTAAAAGCTTTGAAATTAAAAAAAAAAGAAAACCCAGCATATCAGGAAAACAGGATCTTAATTTGGGTGGCTAAACATTTTTTTCCACAGGGTTTTCTAGCACCTTCACGGGAGAAAGGAGACCCAAAGATGACCAGGTGTTTGAAGCCGTGGGAACTACAGATGAATTAAGTTCAGCTATTGGGTAAGGGGGACAGGATTGGCCTTGAGGTTGAGTTTGAATTGAGTACGAGTAAACGTAATGAATGTGAAGCTGTCACACGTGCTGGGCAGCTGCCTCGGAGGTTGTCAGTCCTTACTGAACTTCCCTCAGCCCTGAAGCACAGGCTGGTCAGCTCCACAAGGCTGCGGGTCTGCGGACCCCTTTCCTTCTTGGCCCTGCCTGTGCCTGCGCCGGCCTCTGTCCAATGCCATGTGAAGCTGCCTCCCTCTCATCCCCCGCTTTTTAGGTGAGCCTGTGTGTGCCACTGAAGTTAGTATGCTGAGTGAAAGAGATGAGTTAGTATAATGCACAGGACATCCAATGTGATCTCTTTTATGAATGTTGGTTTTTAAATAAGCCAGAGTTTAGAAGGTGGACTCAAGGAATTGGTCAGGATGGGCCAGGTTGTGCTATGCACACAAACAGCCCCCAGATCCCCTAGCTTGTGACACCAATGGTGGACTTGCTGCTCCTACTTCACTCTTGTCACAGGGGGAATGTGCTTTGGCTCCATGTGGCCTTCACTCTGCTAGGGCAGCCGCTGTCTGGGATAATTATCTGTCATCATGGCAGAGGGAAAAGAGGTCATGGTGAAGCTCACAGTGGCTCCTTGTGGCCAGGGATTGTACAGTGGCAGTATTGTTGCCAACGAGGTTTACCCACGATGTGATCATTGCTGATTGAAAACTTTTCCCACCACCTGACCCTGATGACTTGAAATACAGTCGACATTGGCAGTTTTTGAGTCTTTATGGAAACTGAACTTTGTTGGTAAATAAAAGTTGAAAAAAAAAAGGCTCACATGTCTAATCCCAGCGCTTTGGGAGGCTGAAGTGGAAGGATCACCTGAGCTCAGGAGTTTGAGACCAGCCTGGGCAACGTAGCAAAACTTGTCTCTACTAAAAAGAAAAGTAAAAAAATTAGCCAGGTGTGGTGGTACCCAACTGTAGTCCCAGCTACTCAGAAGGCTGAGGCAGGAGGATCACTTGAGTCTGGGAGGTTGAGGCTGCAGTGAGCTATGATCGTGCCACTGCACTCCAGTCTGGGTGACAGAGTATGACTCTGTCTCCAAAAAAAAAACAAAACCTTCCGCAAGAGTGATGCCTTCCATGTATTCACATTTCAGTGGCCAGAGCCTGTCACGTGCACGTACCTGACATCAGCAGGGTGGGAAGGGTGGCAAATATTTGCAAGCAGGAGCACAGTCTGCCCAGCACACCCTGCAAGCTGCTGACAGGGGGAGCAGCAACAGTCTCAAGTGCTGGATCCTGAGGTTTGACCCCGAGGCCTGGTGGGTTATAGGTGCATGAGAACCAGACAGACTCTACTGTAAATTCAGCACCACTGCTGACTGTGTCTGGGACGTCAGGCAAATCACATGGCCTCTGTGAGCCTGTTTACTGTTCTACCAAGTGATTATCATGATAATTCCCATCTCACTGTGTTCCTGTGGGGCTTAAATGAGATGATTCCATGTTTCACCCTGAGGGCAGCACCTAGCACAAGTAATAATAATGTTAAGTAATATCATTATTCTTAACGCTTACCTGTTCCTGGCTATTCTATCTCCACGGCGGGCCTGACTAGGTGAGCTTTTCAGGACAGATAATGGGAGGTATAGATAGTCTGCCAGCCGGGTAGAGAAGGCAAACAAACCCCTTGGTGTGTGTGGGAAGGGGTCCAGAAGGGGGCAGACAGAAGACCAAGTGGGCAAAGGGAGAAAAGGCCAGTTTTCCCATCAGCCATTCTGATGAGCTGTAAATCACGAGCCCTCATCTCTCAGTTGAGAAGGAGCAGAAGGTCAGGGAAACCTCAGCTGTGGATTCTTCCTTTGTCAGATATTGACCAAGCATCTGCAGTACGAGGTGCTGCTCAGCAGAGAACCTCAGCCCTGACTTCCTGAGCTGCAGAGTGCAGGGAGCAGGCAGCACTCACTGGGCAGCTGGGAGGGTGGGAGTGGGCATGGGGCAAGCACTGAGGGGGGCCTGCCACTGGGCTGGTCACAGAGCGTCCCTTGGCAAGCAGATACTTCTGCACACCTCCTGTGACCCAGGCATGGGGTATCTGCTGTGATGGAGACAGACTGCATCCCAGCCTGCACAGCCCTTCCTTCGGTCCAGAGGGGAAAACACACAAGGCGGGGATCACACTAGTGTGTTTACTTCTAACTGTAAGATGTGCCAGGAAGATGGACTGGTTATTCTCCAATGGCCCTTTCAAATCCCTTCTCTTCACCTTCTCTTTATGCATAGGAGGCTGCATATTACCTTATTACACCACCTTATCACCTGGTGGCTATGCCACCTCAATTCCTTAGTCTTGTGGCATTTGGGTGGGTCCAGCCAATGGGAGGCACCAGCAGGTGATGGGAGAGTGAGTGGAGAGAGCTGGGGAGTGTGTGTGACCCCATCCCCAGTGGTGCATGGCTCTGGTGGCAGCTGGGCTCCCTACCTAACTCCCTCCCTGCTGAGTGATTCCAGAATCCAGCTCCCTCCAGGGTGAGTAGCTCCTTCCCTGTCTCTTGCGCTTTAAGCTCCTGCATTTGCCGTCCATTGCCGATTCCCATAACTCTGCCCACACTTCTGTGAATTGTCCCTTCCCAAAGCCCTCCTTCAGGAATCTTTGCAGCGTGCCACTGTCTTCTGCCGGGGCACTGACCCATGCAGGTGGGAAGTGCAGTGTTCTAAGGGAGGTAGAACCAGGGTCCTGACCTGTGTCAGGGGCAGTTTGCTTTCCCTGCTTTAGGAGGGAAGTCCTCCCCAGCCTTCAAATTCTCCCCTCCAGCATCACCTCCTCCAGGAAGCCCTCCTTGCCTCTCTAGCCAACGTCAGATTAGTCTTGGCTTGCTCTTTCCTTCAGAGCACTGACCTCTGCACCTTCACATTCAGAAGTGTGATATTTAATCAGATTAGATACACACTCGAATATCACACTCCTGAACATGAAGGTGCAAACTTTGCCTGAAGCCTCAGAGAGAGTCAGCAGCAGTGTAGAATTTGCACCTGGGTCTGTCCAGTTCCCACACACCTACAACAAACCACAGGGCCACAGGTCAGATCTCAGGATCTAGCACTTGAGGCTGTCACTGCTCACCCTGTCACCAGCTTGCTGGATAGAGCCTGGGTCACCTTCTGTTCACCACTGACTCTCCTGGGCCTGGCCAGAGTAGCTGTTCAAAAAGAAATTGTTGACTGGAAATAATGAGTATCAGAAAAGGCATTTCAAGAAACAAATAGCACCCCCCTCAAATGGAAGGCTATAATGTTCTTATTGTCAGCAAGAAAAATAATGTGGCTGTTGCAGTGAAATTAACTAAATGGCCTACCACCTGAGAATCTGTTGTTTACGGCCAGACAGGGCCTAGGGACATGACATTAGAGGCAAATTCTTTTTCCTTTTTCTTCATAGGTTTGCTCTGGAATTAGTCACAGAAAAGGGCCACACGTTTGCTGAAGAGCTTCAGAAAGTGAGTAACACCGTCTCACCCCGAGCTGGGGATCTGATCCCTGGTGGCCCCCACTGGACTCAGTAGGGCTAATCACTCTCCCTCCGTGAGCTTCGTTTCTTCATCTGTAAAATGGGGACAGGATGGGTATGGTGGCTCATACCTGCAATCTCAGCCACTTGGGAGGCTGAGGCAGGAAAGTCACTTGAGGCCAGGAGCCTGGGTAATGTAGTGAGACCCCAACTCTACATAAGATTTAAAATTAACCAGGCATGGTGGTGAGTGCCTGTAACCTCAGCTGCTTAGGATGCTGAAGTAGGAAGATCTCTTGAGCCCAGGAGGTCAAGGCTGCAGTGAGCTGTGATCATGCCACTGCACTCCTGCCTGGGCAATAGACTGAGACCCTGTCTCAGGCCGAGCATGGTTCAGGCCTGTAATCCCAGCACTTTGGGAGGCCAAGGTGGGAAGATCACTTCAAGCCAGGAGTTCAAGACTAGCCTGGGCAACATAGGGAGACCCTGTTTCTACAAAGACAATTTTAAAAATTCTCCAGCTATGGTGGCACACACCTGTAGTCCCAGCTATTTCGAAGGCTGAGGTGGGAGAATCGCTTGAGTCTCAAGGGGTTGAGGCTGCCATAAGCTATGATCACACCACTGCACTCTAGCCTGGGCAACAGAGTGGGATCCTGTCTAAAAAAAAGAGACTGTCTCCAAAACAAACAAACAAACAAACAAACAAACAAACAAACAAACAAACAAACAATTGGAGACATATAATCTTCCTTCATAGGGAAGTGGTAAGGATGGTACCAAGTGAGGGAATTTCAAATGCAGCAATTCTCAACCCAGGGTGATTCTGCCCCTCATGGCCCCCTGAGCAATGTCTGGAGACATTTTTGGTTGCCACATCTAGGGGTGGGGGTGTTGCTGGCATCTAAATATCCTGCAATGCACAGGACAGCCCCCGTCGACAAAGAATGCCCAGGCCGTGAATGGCAGTAGCACCGAGGCTGAGGAAGCCGGTGTGAAGTGCCTCGCTTGCGCCCGATGCAGATGGAACCCAGGGAGGCCCAGCTGCAGTCAGCCTCAGTCAGTGGGACTCCTGCTTCACAGTGCCACTGTTCTGTTCTCTGAGAAGGAGGGGGCCTGTGACCCACACAGAACTTCAAGCACAGAGACTTGGTCGCCACCCCTGAACACCTGGGGTGCTGCAGTTTCCATCTCACACGGACCCGGGTCCTCAGAAACCTCCCTGCAGAGTCAGCCCTTCCCACTTCAGTTCTGAAGCCCAGATTGGAGCCCTTTCAGGTCCCTGGGAGCAGATGGAGGGGAGTAGGTGGGGCTGCCAAGGCTGAGGCTGCAGAAGGATGGGAAGCCTCAGCGGCCAGAACATTCCGTGTGGTGGAGGGAGAGACCGTGCATGCTGCATGCTTTGGGTCGCAGCTGCCATCTCACCTCGCCTCCAGCTGGGTTAGGAGTGCCCCTGGGTTTCCACACCCTCTAACCGCAGGCATCACAAGGGGTGTTAACCTGTTAGCCCGTCTGCCTCCCACCCAGCCTAGGCACGGTAAGGGCAAGGACTGTGTCTGGGTCACCTGGGGGCCCACCTGGCCCGGTAGCACTTGCAGGGCCTGTGGATGAGGCCGGGCAGCATGCTGCTGCTCTCCCCACATCACCCATTTCACCCTCACATATGCCTGTGAGGTGGAAGTCAATGTCCGCACTTTCTAGGGAGCCAAACTGAGCCTCAGAGAGGCTGACTTGCAGCCAGGCATCAGTGGAGCTGGAATCTGATTCCCAACCTGGTGCCAATTCTCCCCAGGCCCCAGGGTGCATGCTGCTGCTGGCCAACCAAGTGGGTATCATCATCACTCCTGCGTTGACTGTGAAGGTGCAGAGACCCCAGGCAGGGAAGCAGCTTGCCCAAGGTCAGCTGGTCAGCAGTCCTGGGAAGGCTCCTGCCCAGTGCTGGATGGGCAGCCTCTGCCCTCACACAGTATGGCCTGCTTCCTGAATGCTGTCACTGTGGCCATCATAGGAGAGGTCAGAGGTACAGACCTTCACCCTCCTGGAGCCCAGCATCCAGCTTGAGTGGACCCTAGCTGGGCACAAAGTCAGAGGTGGTACCCATGGGTTTCACATGCACGGGAGCTGTTGGACCATTGTCCTGCAGAGGCCTGGCATCCTTGCGGCAGACAGCAACAGACCACTTCTGTTCAAGCAAACCCATCCCCACCAGGATGGAGCACAGGCCTCACCCAGCCAGGTGTCCTGCTCCTGGAACCCCCGCATGCCCCGCTGACTACATTCTCTAAAATCTGGAGTGTCTAGAGCTTAGATACCACTGTCATATTTGACGTCTTGGCCCAACTATTACAGGTTAGAAAACCAAAGCTGTCAAATGCTGAGAAAAGAAGAAAACCTCACAGGGCCTAGGTGCAGAGGAGACGTGGGCAGAGCCAAGGTGGTTCCTCTTGACCGTCCCTGGGCATGTGACTCAAGTCATCTGCTTAACCCAGCTGCCGCCCCCACGGGAGCCTTTTCCTCGCTCAGACTGCAAAAGAGCCGCACCAGGTCCCCTCAACAGGGCTGGTTGTCCAGCGAAGATGTTGTGCTGAAGTTTCAGACTTTGCCTTCAAATGTCAGCCAATTCGAGGTCTGACAGCCTGTATTAGTCCGTTCTTGCACTGCTATAAAGAACTACCCGAGACTGGGCAATTTATAAAGAAAAGTTTAATCTGTACATGGTTCTGCGGGCTATATGGGCTTCTGCTTCTTGGGAGGCCTCAGGAAACCTACAGTCATGGCAGATGGCAAAGGGCAAAGAGGCACATCTTCACATGGCTGACAGGAGAGAGAGTGAAGGGGGAGGTGCTATACACTTCCAAACAACCATGTATCATGAGCACTCTATCACAGGACAGCAGTAGGGGATGGTGCTAAACCATTCAAAAGCACCCCTGGATCCAGTCACCTCCCACAGGCCCCACCTCTAACACTGGGGATCACAGTTTAACATGAGATTTGGGTGGGGACACAGAGCCAAACTGTATCACAGCCCTTCCCAAGCTAGCTGTCGCGGGCTTTGCCAGTGTGTTAGGTGGTACCTCTGGACCCTCTCTGTCCAGCCCATCCCGAATAGAACCTGATTGTCACCTTCTGTTGCTCCCCAGATCCAGTGCCTGTTGCAGGACGTCGGCTCTGCCCTGGCGACACCCCGCTCCTCAGCCCGGGAGGCTCACTTAAGTAATTCTCAAACTTGTGGGTGTTCAGAAGGCCCTAGGGTCAGGGGACTCTCTTAGGGGTTATGACCTGGGAGCCCAGGCCCCCAGGAGCCCACAGATGGACCAGTCAGCCTTGCTTTAGACTTTGGGAGGGAGGTACCTTCTAAGCCAGCAGAAGCAGCCTGCGGGGCACCAGGCAGAGGGTGGTGGGGGTGGTTGCTGCCATGGTCTGGTGGGCGATGGCCTCATGGCAGTTCTCTCTGCTCCTTGGCTTCTCAGAGTACACCACGTTTGAGGCGGGGCCCATCGTGGAGCTGGAGCAGTGGATTGACAACTACACCAGCCAGCTCCCACCACTCACGGCCTTCATTCTGCCTGTAGGTACTGGGCAGGCTCAACTGGGGTGCGGCTGCAGGCAGGTGCAGTGACAGACATCCATGGGCTCTAAATAAGTCCCTCTTTTCACAGTGACAGACAGTGTCCTCCAGTTCCCCCAGTTCCCTCCAGGTTCTCACTGGTCCCTCCCAGCCCTGCCTACTTTGGAGCAGGGTGCCCGGTGGGTATGCCCTGGCAGGGCTCCTGGAGGTAGAACACTGCCCGGTTTGGGGGACAGGGCTGGACTTCAGAGGAGCTCCCATCTGCAGTGGGCACATCTTCCCCACCCTGCTCAGGCAACACCCCTTTCTTCTTTCAGTCAGGAGGCAAGATCAGCTCGGCGCTGCACTTCTGCCGGGCAGTGTGCCGCAGAGCTGAGAGACGGTAAGAGGGCCCGAGGGAGAGGGAGTGGGGAGAGGGACAGGGGCTTCTGCACAGCGGGCAGGAGGCAGGCCCAGCAGGGCCAGCTCGGAGCCATCCGGCCACACATCAACAGACCTTGTCTGGGCCCCTCCACTGTGCCAGACGGGGACCAGGACAGACCAAGTCCCTGTCCTCAGAGCACCGTGTTGTGGAGGGGAGACAGTGGCATGTGACCAAATGGACTATCAGACAACACAATTGCACACTGTTTGTGAGCCTGTGTTCTGGGGCAGCGGATGGGTCCTCCATGCAAAGAATTATTGCTGGATTCTCAGCCATCTTGGGGACAGGGGTAGACATGAAAGGATCCTGCTGGCTGCTGGGTGAAGAGGGTCCCTGAAATGCCTGCACGGCTGTGTGGAGCCCAGATGGACGCTGTCAACAGACCAGCCACCATTCCCACAAAGCTACTGACAGGCTTTTCAAGGAATCTTTAGAAGAAAATGAGCAAAATCTCTATCTACACCCCTCAGAGGCCAGCTTTACAGAGAAGAGAAAGCGAGCCTGACTTTGTTCCCGTGGACAGGCTGTGCCAGCTGCTTTACTGTCATCATTTCATGTAGTCCTTCCTGGTAGCCCTGGGAGAGGTGGTGGTGGCCTCCGCCTTACAGGGGTCGGGAAGTTGCGGCTCAGAGAAATGACACCATGGCCACGGTCACGGAAATGGCTGAGAGCAGAGTCCAGATTCCAGCCCAGGTCTGTTGGGCCAAGCCTGAGCTCTTCCACAGTCCCACACTGTGAAGGTTTTGTTGTTCATGAAAGGCTCTCAGGCCCAGATAGTTCCTAAGAGATCCCAGAGAACTGAGCAAGCTCTGGCTTCAGAAGGAAAGAATGTCATTTGTACAAAGCCATCCACATCAGCAGTACTCATGATAGCAAGAAACTGGAAATTGCCCAAGTCCCAGCAAAGAGGCATGGCGGGGCAGCGGATGGGTCCTCCATGCAAAGAGGCATGGCGGGGCAGCGGATGGGTCCTCCATGCAAAGAGGCATGGCGGGGCAGCTGGTGGGTCTTCGATGCAGTGACTGTGCAGTGAAAAGACGCAGATTGTCATTGGGGCAGGGACGCATGCCTGGGGCACATCGGGTGAAGAAGCTCCTCACTGAGCACATGGTGCCCACTAGAGACAGCCTAGAGCTCCGTGACAGGCTGGGATGCACACCCTACTGGGCCGCTGGCCAGCTGCATGGCTTTGGATGGGGCTGAGAACCCTGAGGCTGGGCTTTGGGGAATTGGCCTGCCAACAAGGGGTTTGCCACAAGGTGATACCCAGGAAAGGCTCGACAAGGGCCTGCCACAACACTGGTGCCCAGCAGACGGTTGTCCAGTGTCTGACGTATCTGCCCACAGGCTGGCACAGACTCCAGGAATCCAGAATCCTGTGGAATCAGGAGTTAGGTCTGCCTGGGTCTTTGTCTCCCCTGTGAAGCTCTTCTAAGTAATGACTTACAAGGGGCTTAGAGTTTACCATTGGGAATTAAGGATCAGGCCCCCCACTGTTTTTTGAAGGCAGAGGCTGACTATCCCAACATCACCCCACCCAGACCCAGGTCCAGTGGCACAAAAGCCAGCTGGCTGGGGTGTGGCTTAGGCCAGGGGGGCTCCCTCAGCCCCCCGCCATTCTCCAGCCCTCCTTGGCCAGGCCCTCCTGCAATATGCCCACAGGAAGGGGGCCAATGGCCTGGTGAAAAATGTGATGGATTCGTCATCTCCGGTGCTGGCTGAGCCTGGGCAGGTTCAGGTTGAGCGGTGCTGGGTATGAAATGCCACTCAAGGTTCAGGCCCCAGGTCAGAGCCTGTCAAGCCCCATGGTGTCACATGACTCAGTGTCTCCTTCCTTTCTAGTGTGGTGCCTCTTGTCCAGATGGGAGAGACCGATGCGAATGTAGCCAAGTTCTTAAACAGGTACTTGCATGGAGCCTGGGGGGTCCCCTCTGATAGCCGAGGCTTATCTGTGGGAGGTAGCAGGAGTGCGGTGGTCTGAGGAGCAGTGTGGGGCTGTGTTCCTGCTGCCCCCTCATTCCCTTATTGTTTATGAGCATCTGCTCTGTGCCAGGCACCATGCGAGCATGGGGGAGGCTTCGGTGAATGGGGTGGGCACTGTGCCTGTCCCAATAAAATTTAGATCTTGTGGGGAGAGGCTGCTGTAAAAACCAAGAAGAAAAACGTAAGTGCAAAGTGGCATTGCGGGGGCAAAGGGTGCTCTTGGAGGCTGGGTGCTCAGGCATCAGAGATGATGGAGCCATCACAGGGGGTTTCAACAGGCCTCTCGGTGGTGACGGACCAGGGAGCCAGGAATCAGGCTCGCTATCAGCCAGTTTCCTCTCCTGAAGAGGGCCTGGGGCAGCGCGAACCGAGAGAAGAGAGCCAGGCCAAACTGAGCTCAGGGGCCCCAGTGCGGGCCCCAGTGAGCCAGGCTGGTCAGGGAGGGCTTCCTGCCTTGCACCTGGACCCTGAGACTGGAGCCACACCTGGCCCAAAGCCTGCCATGCTGGTTCCCACCTCAGCCCTGGTTCCTGTGGCACCAGTGTGGGCAAGGCCAGAGCCTGGGGGCAGTTATAAAGCTGGGGGAATGCAGGGAGTCAGGTCTGTACCCCAGGAGCTGTCCTGGGTGGCTAGAAAGTAACCTCACAGCTGGGGTCTGGCCCGTGACTGTGGCCACTCCTCCTAGGGACATGGTCTGGCTTTGACGGGTTCTGAGAAGCTCCTTCCCTTCCGGGAGGGGGGTTTCCCCAGGAGTGAGGAGCAGGTTTGTTTCCCCTTCAAAGCAGCAACACTGGGGGGACCATTGCGGTCCCATAGCATTGCATGGGACAGGCCATTTCATCTCCTTAGTAAGGCTTCACAGAGCCAACAAGCAGTAGGCACGCGCTGCCCTCCAGGAGCACAAGGCCCAGGCGACGGAACTACCCCAACCACCTCCCCTTTAGTCTCCCTGTGAGCCTCCATGGGACCGGGGGCAGAGTCAGGGGAGGGATCGGGAGGATGTGGCGTGGAGTTGGCCTTCCAGGGCAGGACTGGGGCAGAGAGAGAGGGAGGAGCATGGCGCTTAGCACTGGGAGTGAAATAGCAAAAGGTGCGGGACTGCAGGAGGCAGAAGAGCTGACAGCGAGTGTCTTGTGGGCCCGTGGCATCTTGTCCTCTAGTTCCCTCCGCCACTGCCCCCGCAGAAGGCCTCATGCACAGATGCCCACTGCTGTTGGTGCAAAGGAGGAGGCGGGAAAGGGGCTGGCTCTGGTCTCTGGAGTGCTCCAGCCTGTGCTTCTCAGCCGGTTCCTTTGGGGATGTTTGGAGGCATTATGGGTTGTCACACTGGGTGCAGGGGTGCTACTGGCACGTGGTGGGTGGAGACCAAGGTGCTGTCAGCATCCTACACTGCACATAATGCATCAGACAGACCCGAACACAGAGAATGATCCAGAATGTCTGTAGGGCCTAGTCCAGCAGGGTCAGCATCACCCAGGGAGGGAACTAGGCCTGCAGAGTCCTGGGCCTAGCCCTTTCGAGTCAGAATCTGCTCATCACTGAGACCCCCCAGTGATGCCTGTGCACACTCTAGTTTGGGAAACACCCAAACTGGTCACTCACATGAGCCCTGATCAGTTGAAATAGCTCAGAGAGGGGTCCAAAGTCACCTGGGCCACAGGGTAGGGCCGGGGCAATGGCCTCATCCTGCAGGAATGGCCCCAGCCTTGACACTAGAGTCCTTGGTGTTCACAGAAGCTGGCCTCACTTGCCATCCGTCACGTGCAAGATGGCAGGGCCCGATATCCCCACACAGTATGCCCAGGGCACGTCATTTCTATCTTCTCCTTGTAGGCAGATATGGGAAGACCCAGTTAGCGCTGATCTCTCATTTCAAACCATTCTGTTTGCTACTCTTTCTCTGCCCCTCCAGACTCAGTGACTATCTCTTCACGCTGGCCAGATATGCAGCCATGAAGGAGGGCAATCAAGAGAAAATATACAAGAAAAATGACCCATCGGCTGAGTCTGAGGCACTCTGAAATCAAAAATGAGCTTGGAGGACCCCTCCATGGTGATGGCCTTGGAGAAGGGAGCTTGCCCTTCTGGGTTCCTGGTTCCTGAAGAGCTCACCCAGAGTGCCTGAGAGCAGCCTTGTGTCTCGGCTCAGCTTTGCCCCACACCTCCTGCCACCTTCCCTTTGGGGATTCTGTCCCTGACTCTACTTCCCCAAGCTCTCCTGGGTCTTGGAGGGAAGTGGGCATGAATCAGCATTGCAGGAAAGACAGGTAAAGTGCTGCAATGAGAAGGAGCTGTGTGGAGGAATAACAGTGGGAAAGGCTGGAGCCGTGTGTGTGTGTGTGTGTGTGTGTGTGTGTGTGTGTGTGTGAGAGAGAGAGAGAGAGAGAGAGAGAGAGAGAGAGAGAGAGAGAGAGAGAGAGCCCTCCCACTGCCAGCTCAGATTGTTCATGGATTTGGAATGGGACCAGAGGCCCTTGAAAATGTAATTGTGATTTACCTGTGCCAAAGGGGCTTTAAATGTCACATTTATAAAGGGGAAGGCGGACAGCATTTGGAAGCTTTGTCACCTCTGAGCCACCCATCACCAACAAAGTGTGGGGGAGGGACAGCTGCAGATTGGCAAATGAGGCTCAGAAACTCCTGGCTTAGATTGAAGTGTGTGTGGCGGGGGTGCAGCTTAGGGGACCCCCTCTGAAAGGGATGGACTAGGTGAGAACAGCAATACTGCTTAAAGGTGAACTTCCCTGGCTTAGATTGAAGTGTGTGTGGCGGGGGTGCAGCTTAGGGGACCCCCTCTGAAAGGGATGGACTCCGGTGAGAACAGCAATACTGCTTAAAGGTGAACTTCCCTGTCTGGTTGGACTGAGTCGAGGGTCTGCGGTGCAGTGTCTTCAGCCTGAGAAAATGAGGTTGTCAGTTTCCAGCGAGGCTGACATCCACCAGGCTGATTTCTCCAATGTTGCACTTGGCTGGCTTACGCCTCTGCGATCCGTGCCATGGCTGTATTTATTTCAGTTGTCACCATTGCTCCCTCCCGCTATGAAACGACACTGCTAGTGCCAGCAGTGTCCTTGGGAAAGGCGATATTTATGAAGGGCAGAGAGGCAGCCCCAAGAACCTAAAGACTGCAGGCTGCTAATTGCAGGAAATGACTTCGGAAGGGCAGGCTCTTGTCAAGTGTCAGGGCTGAAATGCCTGGCAAACTCCATTCAGTGTCACATATTGGCTGAGTGCCTGCTCATCCTTGGTCACCGAGCGGGGCTTGGGAAGGCTGGTCACTCTGGCCATCTTTCTTGCCAGTAAGTCAGCAAACATTACATTCAGTCATGTGCATATTTTTGCCTTTATTCTTACCATCTTGCCTGCAAAGTTTGCAGGAGGGCCAGGGACATTCGTGTCTTCTGGATCCTTTCGTTGCTGGCAGGCTGCAGTGGCCCTCTTGAGCCTTGGGCAGGGTGGGTGAGGTGTAGATGACCAGGAGTGTGTGAATGTCTTCCAGGAGGGGGCTTTGTGCCTTCCTGCCCCCATAGTCACTACCAGGTATGTTACTGAGTAGGTGCTCAGTATTTGCACACAGAATTGAAAATGGACTTTGGGAGGCCAAGGCAGGCAGATCACCTGAGATCAGTAATTTGAGACCAGCCTGGCCAACATGGCAAAACCCCAGCTCTACTAAAAATACAAAAAAAAAAAAAAATTAGCTGGGTGTGGTGGCGGGCACCTGCAATCCCAGCTACTCTGGAAGCTGAGGCGGGAGAATCACTTGAACCCAGGAGGCAGAGGCTGCAGTGAGCTGAAATAAAGATACTGCACTCCAGCCTGGGTAACAGAGTGACACTTTGTCTCAAAAAAACAAAAAATGGGAAAGGCCTGAGTTTGCAATCACTAAGGCTCGGTCAGGGAGTATGTTTAAAGAGCTCACAGCGAATCACTCAATTCTGTCCACACCTCAAAATTTTCCTGGAATATATGTTTAATAAAACACCAGCCCTGCATGCCTAGCCATGGCAAAGCACAGCCTCCAAAGGATAAGAAAAGCTCTTTGAGTAAATGCAGCATCCTAAAGTGATGACCTTCGAAACAAGGCCATTCGCCTGCTGCCAAGTCCTGTCCTTCCAGGATCAGCTGTCACAGGCCGGATGTTAACAGTCACGTTCTCAGACCCCTGCCTCTGCATCTATCTCCCGGTTCACCAGCAAACACTTCCGTGAGAAACCACCCAGGTGCAGGAGGGACGCTACTGCTCGGCAGGTGTTTCTCTCCTGTGCTATCAACCTGGGGAAAATGGAGAAAACCTGCTCTGGGGGTTGGGAGGGTGGGGTGTTTGGAGCAGCTGCTCCTCTGCAGTGCCTTTCAAAAGCCCTATCAAGAGCCTGAGGCAAAAGGAAAGCTGCGTATCCTGTACACTGAGCAAATATCCTCCCATATTTTGAACCGGGTGGGAAGTTAATAAAAGCCTGCAATCAAGAAACACGGCTGCGAAGCCCCACTGCCCCAGCATTTGCACATCATGGCAGCCCTCAGAAATGATCAATCCCATTGCACGGGAACATGGGCTTTCGAAACAAACAGCAGCCTGTTTTTATTTAAAGTCGTGATCCCTTGCTTATCACAGGTTCTTCCAAAATCAAATTATGATTGAGTCAAATCAAACTGGAAAATACTGCAAATATTGTTCAGTCACCAAGTTTGTGGGCACTCCCTTACATTTTGCACCCATGAAAATGCCTCCTCCACCTCCCCCTCCTCCAGACCAGGCTCCCTGGAGTGGGGTGTTTAGTGTATTTCCAGAGTGCTGGCAGTTGGCTCTTCCGTCAGAAGCCCACGGTAACAGTGACACCAGCCTGCACTGTGAAAGGGCTTGCTATGTGCAGTGCCCTGAGCCAAGCGTTCCACAGACACGATCTCATTTGAACCCCGTAGCAGCCCTGGAAGGAGGCATTAGATGTGCCCCACTTTGCAGGTGGGGAACCGAGTTGTCCTGGGGAGTCGGTGCCAAGATATGGGCCCAGGACGCGACCTTGTGACTCCTGGCCCCGTGCTCCTCGGCTCCCACCCCACTGCTGCTTGACAGTCATTTTAATCACTACCTGGGCTGCGGCGAACAATGCCAGGCTCTGATAGATCCTGCTGTCTCATTTCTCAACCTAGTTTCCCTTAACTGATATTTCATGGCTATTGTTAATGTGCATTTTTCACGGAGTAATTTCCACAGCCCGAACTTGTAACACATCCCAATGACAAACGTCCGTGGTTCCGAAGCCCCCATCAGTGGCAATGTCACCCTCGCTGCTGCCTTGACGCCTTCCGACAGCCCATTCAGTTTTATGATCGCCCCGTCCCCGTGATCACTACTGAACCTTTAAGAATCCAGACGCATTTCAAGTTTAATTGAATAAAATTCTTTGTATAATAAATTCCACATGAATGCTACATAAATCAGTGCCCGGAAGGGTTTGTGGCTCATCCCTCCCCTCTGGCGGGGCCTGGGAATCTTCTGGCGATACTGACACAAGCTGGAACAAATGCATCTTTGCAGTCAGTCCAGCTAGGGGAGGATGGTGCAGTTTTAACTTGCCTTGGCCTATTGGTTGAGAGTCCTCTCTGAGAGCCCTCCTGGAAGATAGTGCTGAAGTCCGAGGCAGGGACAGGCAGCTTTCGGAGGCCTAGAAATTCTGGGGACGTCCCTCGTGTTCTCTCATTCCACAGAATAAGAAACTTCTCAAGCCGTACTTTGTCACCTGGAATGTACACATATTCACGAATTTGCATCCGATCGTAGGAAGTCCATGGAACCTCTGGGCAGGAACCCCTGTTCTAAGAGAACCAGTGCAACCCTCTTCAGAAGTTATGGCGGGATTCCCAAATCCACCTTCAGCAGCCTGTTTCAGGGTCAGATAGCCCCAGCCTGGAAATGTGAGAAGGAGCACTCGGGGCCAGCTGGGAGAGGCTGCTGGGTGACCTTTGATGCTTGCAGGGTTGTGGGATGCAGAGAAGGGCTGCTGAACAGCCGGCTTGGGCATTGGCCCCAGGCAGGCTCAGGTTCGAGGCTGGCTCTGTCACCTCCTATCTTGGTGACTGGGCAAATCACTCCATCTCTTTCAGTCTTGCTCCTCCATCTGTCTTAGAAGAGTGATACTGCCCCTGCAAAATGTGAGCTGTGGTTACAGTTGTTTGCTATTGTTATTACTATTTGAATTCAGATTCAACTTTGCCACTTCCAGCATCTCTTTAAGCAAATGGTTTAACCACTCAAAGCCTCTTTAATAACTGGGAATAATTATACCAACTTCCAAGAGTTCAGAAATAAATCCACAGGCCCCACACATGTTATAGCAGCTCTAAAAAATAGCAGTTGTTGTTCAACCATATTTGACCCTTTTTAAAGCATGTGAAGCTGAGAATGGCCTGGCAGCCTCTCTGGTCCCTCAGCCTTGCCGAGTGGGTTGGGGAGACAGGTGGCTTCCAGAGGTGACCAGGCACAGTCAGACCAGCCCCTGTGCCTATGTGGCTCCAGCAACACAGGTCCGAAGTGAAAGGCAGAGGAACTTGCAAGACCATGAGGGCTGAATGCAGCCCCGGACATCACTGTCCCATTTTATAAATGAGGAAACTGAGGCCTGGAGAGGAGAACTTTTTTTTTTTTGAGACAAGTCTCGCCCTGTTGCCCAGGCTGGAGTGCCGTGGTGCAAACTCGACTCACTGCAACCTCCACCTCCTGGGTTCAAGCAATTCTCCTGCCTCAGCCACCTGAAGAGCTAGGATTACAGACATGCACCACCATGCCTGGCTAATTTTTTTTGTATTTTTAGTAGAGATGGGATTTTTCACCCCGTTGGCCAGGCTAGTCTCAATCTCCTGACCTCATGATCCGCCTGCCTCGGCCTCCCAAAGTGCTGAGATTACAGGCATGAGCCACAGTGGCCGGCTACCACCAGAGCTTTTTAAACCATCTCATTGTAGCTAACCTTGGAGAGCACCTTCCTTGCACGCTTGCCATATATTCCCCACAACAGCCCTGCCAAGTGGACATTAGTACCTTTGCGCCATAGACTCAGAAACAGAGGTGCAGGGAGACAGCACCTCGGAAGAGGCCGAACTTGGATTTGAACTCAGATCTGTCTCCAGCATGCTCCCTGTGGCAGCAGCAAAGCCAAGACAAGGACCCTGGTCTTCAGGTTCCCCTGGGGTGGCCACCCTGGCACAGGTGGCAGTGAGGGTGTGACTGGCAATCAAGTAGTACAGGGCTTCTTCTCAGGGGAAGCGAAGGGAGTGCCAAAAACCTGGGAGGAGCTGGATGCAGTGGCTCCTTGCTTGTAATCCTAACACTTTGGGAGGCCAAGGCAGGAGGATCACTTGAGGCCAGGCGTTTGAGATCAGCCTAGGCAACATAGTGAGACCCTGTTTCTTGGAGAAAAAAAAAAAGCCCAGGAGTGATGTATGCACCTGTAGTCCCAGCTACTCGAGACTGAGGTGGGAGGATCACTTGAACCCAGGAGTTCATGGCTGCAGTGAGCTATGATCGTGCCACTGCACTCCAGCCTGGGCAATAAAGCAAGACCTTGCCTCAAAAACAAACCCCCGGGAGGAACCTCGTTGCCACAGCTACAAGTGCCCTCTCCAAGGAAGGGTGAGTATCAAGTGCCAATTCAAACTGGCATAGGGCACAGGCACCCTGGAGAATGGAATGCATGAGTGGCATGAAAGTGTCTAATGACTCAGGACCTGGGGTGGGGGCAAGGTGACCTCTTTCCCCTGCCCCTCACCACCGAAATGCCTCCCAGTGCAAGCTCCCAAGTCACCAGTCCTTCAGCCCTCATCACTGGCCATCTGCAGTGCCCATGGCCCTCCCCAGTCAGCAGGTGCCTTTATTTACAATCACCTTGGAAGGGTCGAGCAGACATATGTTGCTAAGGGTCGTTTATTCTTGTTTATAAAATTTATGGCTTCACCTCGATTACACACTGTCAAAACAGAAAGGATTGGGCCCAAAGTCTCTTGCCGCATGACTGCCTCAGACGTGCGTACATCTGTTAACTCTGTGGGAGCTGTAGCAGGAAATAAGCTTCACTATAACTCAAAAGCTCGCTATCCCGCCACGAGGTGTGAGCGGCAGGCCTTGAGAAAAGACATCCAGGCGTGTACGTGGGGAGGGAGGAGGTAGGGTCTGTGAGTGGCCGTGCCAGGTGGCCTCAGGACCCTGCCCTGGCCCAGCCAGGGACTCTCTCAAGGTGCTTTGACTGGGGAGTGGAAGAGAAAGAACTCATTTCTATGGCCCTCAGGGGTCCAGCTGCAGAATCCCAGCAGCTGGAAAGAATTCTGAGCCTATGGCTTTCCACCTGCCGACTTCAGCAGGGAGAGAGAAATGTTGACTCACTCTCTCACTGTTGCGGGGAGTGGAGATCAGTACGAACTTTCAGTTGGGCAATTTGGCAATGTGCACAAAAGTCCTAGAGATGTGTGTATCTTACAGTCCTGCAATTCTGTGTCTGAGATTTTTTTCTGAAGGAAATAGACACATTGGTGGAGCTGCAAGAGCATTTGTTTGCCATTTTGTTTTTGATTTTTGTTTTTTTTTTCAGTGCAGGAAATAGACACACTGGTGAAACTGCAAGAGTTGTTTTTTTTTTTTTTCAGTGCAGAAAAATGCAGCTCATTACAGTGAAAAATTGGAAACCAATGTCCAACAATCAGGAGTTGGATAATTAAATAAGCAAAATGTTAACAATAAGGAACTGTAAGAAATACCATAAAACCATGAAAATGATGGTGTCTATGTATTTACTACTATGAAAAAGCATTCAGCATTCACTATTATTAAGCGAAAAAAAGAAACCTTAATTACAAAATGTTACATATAGAATGATCCAAATCCTAAACAGAAATATACATGTGTTTATATACCATAGAAAAATGCATGTGTTACTCGTACGTATCTCTCAGTGGTGGGAAGATGGGTGGTTTTCATGTTCGTTTTCATTTTGTCTGGATTTTCTAATTTTTCTACATGAATTGGGCTGAATTTGACAAAGGCTTTCTGTGTAATACACATGAATGAAGAAAAGAAACTGACAAGTGGTTTCTCTGCCTGTAAATAAATCATCTACCTCCCGCAGGATGGTTGGAGACAAGAGAAGCCCCTTGGAGGGTGATACCCCCTACCACATTCCAGCCGCCTCATGTAGGGAGGGTGTCCTCCAGTAGCCAAAGCCACCAGGCCCCCCGACCCGCCACAAAGTCTGGAAGCCTGGAGAATGTGCACCGTGTTCCCTGTGGGAGGCAGCTGACTGTGCAGAGTCCAGTCTGCATGTAGAAGCCTGGCTTCCGTTCTAGGGCAGCAGAGGAGGGAAGAAAAATGAACCTGGTCCCACTGAGCTGCCCCTGGGGGATCACTGCATCAGCTTTCCCCACGCCATTGAGATGTTGGCATCTCTCTTCCTCCTCTGTTGGTTGCTGCATCTTTATCTTGTAGAGGGGCTGAAAGTAGACAAAGAACTTCCATGTTTGTGATCTCATAGAGATTTTCATCCTGGATTATCACCGAAACTTTTCCTGAATAAGCGGCACCCCAATAGGTAGCGTGATGATCCCAGTGTGCCAGTCAGCAAGTGGCAAAACCCACCTCAATCCCAGCCTTTGGTGTCAAAATCCAGTTTCCTTTCTTTTCTGTTCTGCTGAGAGCAGGGAAGGGCTTATCCCAGGGGTGGGAAAGAAATGCCAATTCCAAGTGATTGCCTGGCAGGCTGTGCTGGGTCCAGATTCAACAGGGAGGGGGTTGGGAATCCATTACTAATGCCTGTCATGGCCTCTGGGAGAGGTAGTGGGGCAAGTGGCCTGCATTTGACATTTCTGGATTCCTAGGGCAGAGCCCTTACAGATCTCAAAGGTGTGAGGACTTCAGAGGTCTCCAGGCTGCTTGAGAGTAGTCAGGCTGTCCCTCTCAACCAGCCCCCAAAGCAAAAGGAGCTCTCCCATCCCCACAGCTCCCCAAGGAAACTAGCTAGCAGGAGAGGGATTTCTCAGAGCTTTCAGGCGACACATCAGGGTCACTGATCTCCGAGAACCAAATACTTATAAATCTGACTAATTAATTAGTCAGCCCTGACAAGCTCACCACCATAACTCAGAATCTGTAATTACATTTCACATTAAAGCACGAAAAGTTAAGATTAAAGCCAGTGAGAAATGGCGTGACATCCTGCACCCCGACACCATCCCCCATCTAGGGACCGAAGCTCTGGAAACCACCTCCCTTTGATTGCATTGTTCCCTGGGGTTCTGTTCCCAGCTGTGTGACAAACCAGTTCCAGCTCCCCTCCCCTGAGGTGGCTGCAAGCATTTTGTACAGGGGAGATTTTTAGGTTTACAATTGAAAGTGCCCTGTAGGCAACGACCACCTAGAACACACCTGTAGTGG